GCTTGAAACTCAGACATTGCAGATGCAGACGTGGAGAAATAGTTTATATTAGCAATTGCAGGATATTTGCATAAATCATATACTGTGCTGTTTTAATCGTGTGTTTTGGAAAGACTAATTCAAAACAGAATAGGTACAAGATGAGCTCCTACAGTTATTAAGGTAAAGAGCAGCCATCTCATGAGGTGACTAAGTTTCATGTTGCTTTTTTGCTCAGCAAAAGCTCTGAGGCGGTAGGTAATAGTTCTCTGTACAGTAGCTGCTGGGCTTGGATAAAAAATGGCTCTTCAGAGGGGCTCTTCGGACAGTAAAAGCAGCTGTTGTAGCTGGGGTGAGCTGTTCGTATCGCTATTAAAATGGGCACACCCTGTGGTGAATCGGCGTAGCCCGTATTCCAACAAAGGAATGGATCACAGATACTTACTTGCTGGTGAATAGTGGTTTGTGCTTGCAGGAATTACGGCAGGTAATGTGCTAGAACTTAGTGGAAAACTTCTTTCAAAAAGGTGGAACTGATTGCAAGGGAGTAGGTGCTGATCCAGGATTTTTTTTTAGGGCTCTGAAAAATAGCTTTGACCACCTTTTGCTCTAGTAACTTTAACTGCTTCTCTGAAGGGCTGTGGTCTGAAGGCAAACAGTTCTTAGCAGCTTCATTTGTTAAGCAGCTGTGTATTTTCATCACCTGCTACAGATCCAGAGAGGCTGTTGAGACTTGAGTTAAAGAAGAAAATGAGAAATGTGCTTTGAACTTCACTCTTCAGAGGCAGCAGCAATGAGGGGGGTGGACCAGGCTTACAGGCGATGCTTAGTGTTGTGAAGGGTTGCTGCCACATACTGTGGCAGGGGACAATGAAGCAGTGCTTTGCTTTGGTAGTGGTTTCTGCATGCTCATCTCCTCCCACCGTCATAGGAGTAGCATGAAGCACCAGTGCTGTTATGCTGCTTGGTGTCAGATTGTAGTTAACTGGGCAGTTGCTCTCATCTTCAGCGCTCAGTTGCAGAAAAGCTGCAGATGAAAATTAAATCTAAGGATGCCACTAGTTGTCTACTACGTTGTGAAGAGCTCAGTGCAGCGAGGTTATGCTTGACTAATTTATTTTCTGAGAAAAACACCAAAATGCTATATGCCAAAGATTCCAAAGTACTAGTAGGTTAATTTCAGGATGTGCAGATAAAATAATTCTTAGACACCACAGTATCATAAAACACTCAAAAAACTTTGCAGGTCACTTGAATATTAAAAAGGTTTCTGCTGGTTTTGATTGGTTTTTTTAGCATATTTTCACAGAAGCATCTAGAAGAGTGCTTTTTCAATTTTTGTAGCTTGATAGGGTAGTTCAAGTTGAAGGGATCTCAGGAAAGGGTCTGGTCCAACCTTCTGCTTGAAACAGGGTCAGCTCTGAGATCCAACCAGATTTCGAAGGTTTGTATTAAGTCAGTTCTTAAAAACCTCTACGGGTGGAGACCCCACAAAATCTGTGGGCAGCCTGCTCCACTGCTGGACTGTTCTCAGGGAAAAAGTGCTCCTTTGTGTCCCGTCTTATTCCAATTCATACCTATTTCTTCTTGTCCTTCTGCTGTGTGCCACTGAAGAGCCTGGCTCAGTTTGCTCACTAATGTCCCCATGGGCACTGGAGGGCAGTTGTTAGGTCTTATTGATGCCATCTCTGCTCCAGGCAGCACAAGCCCAGCTACCTTCTCCCCACAGGAACCACCCCACCCATTGCAGTGGTCTTTGCTGAATTTATGTACTAGCTGATTCGCCCCCAGAGCAATTAAGTAAAAAGCCAATTTTAACAAAGGAAGGCACTGTCTTTTTGTGAAATGGTATTTTAAAATATAAAAAAAGTTACCAAAAGTATTTGAGAAAAAACAATGTTCTTTACTTAAAAACAACACAAAAAACCCGCTAAACTCCTTGCAGGTCTTGAGAACACAATTTGAATCACTCCATAGTGCCACTGTCTGCCACGTAAGTTAGACATGGCAGCATAAAACTGTCAAAACAGCTCTTCTCTCTTTTCTAAATGGAAAATTTGACAGGCTTTTTTTAGTAAATGGAACAATTTTGCAGAAAGTACTAGCTATGTATATTATTAAGAGTTACATTTTTGCCAGGAAATAATAAAATCTAGTGAGTACTTTGGGACATCCGGCATACTCCTCTACATTAAAAAAAAAAACACACCCAAAAACCAAACAAAAAATAGCCAAATAAAGAAGACTTTCCAAATCATGTGTCCTAGTTAATTACTTAATTACTACTTTCCAGTCTCTTCTTATGCACCAGTAAGATCATCAGAAAATAGACATATAATCCTTTGTATTTCATACACTTTGTGTAGCCTACAGAAAAATTTTTGAAATCTTTGCAGTTCCCATAACTATAGAAATAAATTCATTATATTCTTTGCCATCTAGTTACTACCTCAATCATACTAGTTTCACCAAGTTAAACTCCCCAAAAAAGGAAGAGGGGATCTGAGGATCTGAACCTCATATTCTTTTTATGCAGAAAAATTAATGTTGACTGAAATAGGACTTAAATTTCTTGATTTGAGCAGACCACTGTTCAAAACAGTGCTATTTTCTGTATAGTAAGTTCTCCTTTTCGATTCTTGTTTGCTTAATTATTGTTGTAATGGTTTCACTTTAGGTAAGTGGTCCCATACCTTCCGTTCATAATTTCTGTGTTTGTTTTATGGTTGACTTTCTCCTGTTTTCAAAAGAAGAGGGTAGAAAAGTGACATAATTGGAAAAATCAGTTATATAGAAGCTGTCTAGCAGCTACACTATGTACAAGCGCAGCCTGTCATGAGCCATGGTTCTGGGAGCACTCCAGATATAGATGACTTAATACAATCCCTTTAAGCAGTCATCTATATTGCTACTCCAGTGTTTCTCCCCTGAGACAGCAAACTAGAAACAGCAAGGCAAAAGATAGGAAAAATGATAGGCTGATGCAAAATAGGTAGAGAATCTGACCAATGTAACTCAGAAAAAAAGGAGTTCTGTGATATAGGGGTATGGAACTGAGAAGTAATAGAAATAACAGAAGCTGGGAGTGCAAGACAAGGGAGTCAAGAGGAGCCTCAGAAGGGGCATGGCTGCAGTTCACCCCTAGCAGCTCATCAAGCTTGCTTTGTCCCTCTTAGACAGGACCAGCAAATGAAAGATTAAATGAGAACCAAACAGAACCATCTCACCTTATATCAGGGCAACTGGGGAGGAAAACAGACCTCAAAGAACCAGTGCTTTCTTGATTTGATGCTTTTGGCGTAGCACCTATTTATGACTTCAAGAAGACTTGGCTCTCTTAAACAAAAACTCTAGGGGGAAGTATACTTAACTTTGCTGTGTCTTTGAGTTATACATGTTCTGAATCTCAAAAACAAAAGTGGTCTGCTGCACATGAGCATGTAGAAAGATCACATTCTGGACTAAAGTTTTTCATGAATTCACTTTGACTTCTTCAGGAAAGATACCCTGTTGGGGATATGCATGCATATTTATGTGTATGTGTAAATAAACATAATTTATGTGTATATGTAAATAAATAAATTGTAAAATTTTGAGTACTTGCTGGTTCACTCAGAAATGGCAGAACATATTCTGTTGGATGGCTCAGTCTATAATTAACATTTTTAATTTTTTTTTTTTTTTAAATTTTGAATATTGCAGGGAACTTTACAAGCGTTTACATTTTTACTGTTGCAATACCTTTAATTTGGATTTCTATGTCTTATGAGCTTGCAACTTAAAATCAGAGCCTGACTGGGGAGGGGAACACTTAATAGGTATTTGTTAGGTCTTTTTTTTACAAAATAGGCAGCAAAACAAACTCATCTGGTTAGAGCAAAACCAAAGAGTACCCTCTTCCCTGATGGAAAAAAATCTTAACTAGCAAAATAAGTACTAAAAGCAAGATTGTGACTCTGAGAATACTGCCATTGACAACACTGGTACCATTATTTCAGAGCAAAAGTGAAAGAAGTTAGTCTACTATTTCTATAAATGTAAACAGCTAAACTACTTGCCACATACAGGATCCGTAATCCTCAGTGTACACTCAAGAAAATTTCTGCCCTTTGTTTCCTTCAAGGGCTGGGAAGGTGTGTTTGTTGACTAGTGAAACGCAAGGCATTTTAAGATTGTTCTTTGAAGTGAAGCTTCATGTTCTTTATGAGACTCTGCAATAGTCAGTTACCAGAAATAAGATTAATGCTACTTCTTAGTCCATTTGCATATCGACAGAGAGAGATAGGTTGTGCTTATTCAGAAGAACATCTGTATGTTTTATACTGTATTGTGCAACCAAGAGTAATTCTTAAAGCTTTACAGTTATATTTGCTGTATATAAGTTAGTAGTGAAGATCCTCTTTACAACATCAGTATACGTAGGAGATGCTTCCATCCGAACTTGAGCTGCTCTCTCGACCTTGAAGCGTGCTGATTTCCCATCTGTCGGGCTGCTCTCCTTCTCTTCTGTCAATCACATAGCTGCTGCTTCTCACTGATGCTAATTAGGGTGATAGAGCCTCCCATTATTAGGTCTAAATTAGGTAACTTGCTCGAAAACCTAGCAAATGCTGAATAATGCATTTCTGTCTGGGTTATGTAGGCTTTTAGAGGCTTTATGAACATGTGTAATGGGCGAGGGGCTTCACAGGGTGCATACACCTGCGTTCACACCTATGTCAAAAATAGATCTGTTAACTATGGTTTGTGGAGATGTAAGATGTGAACAAATAGCTGTTTTGTTCATAAATTATTTTAAAGTAGTACCTATTATGCCATCACTATTTTTGCAAAAGTAGTTACAGCTGGAATGGTAAAAGACTCAAATAGTATTTGAGACCAGCATCATTGGTTGTTTCTGCTATGTAACAGTAAGCTCAGAAACACTGTTTTCAGTATTATTTCCTACTGGAGTATCAACAGTTATGATGCCATGAAAGACGAAATCAGGACTCAATAGCCGGGGTGACTATTAAGCAGGTATTCTTTATTGCAGCGCTGGACGCACAGGGGATCGCTCCTCCAAATGTGCGTGCCAGACGGAGTCGGTTTGACAACATGTATGCATACATACATACATATTCTTGTAAGGAGTTTTAACATATTCATTAGTTTCCAGTACTTGTTGTGTTTGTATACACTTTATGGCAATAGAGACATTTCCTTGTAGTCCTTGTACAAATGTTGCTACTGCTTGGAAATCCTCAGTAGTATGGTTAGATAATAGGGAAATGAAATCAACAGTCAATTGCTGAGCTCCAGCCAGAGTGATTAAAGATGATCTTAATGGTACTTCTAGTCTTCCTAAATCAGAGGTGACTGTGCTCAGTTTATTAATTATTACTTCCTGATCAATCGAGTTTAAAACTCCTAGTCCAGATCCAAACCATCCTGTTAAATCTCTCTGTTTCCTTGAGTGGTGAGCTCTGGAATGTAACCATGCCTTCCATCCTTTAAGACTTTGCGAAACAAAAGGTAAGCATTCTGATTTTATCTGAGATATATCAGCTTGTACCTTTACCCGTACCTTCTTTAAGGAATATGTGGGGTCCAGAAATAATTTCTGCTCATTGGATTGTCTCACTACATAAGGGCCTGCGAACGAAAGGTTATGGTATTTCACAGCACAGTTAGTTGGTTCAAACAGAGGGATGGTGGTTGGACTTGGAGTAATTATATTCCTCCGAGGCACATGGAGCGCAAAGGGGAATAGGAATGTTGCTGAACGGCTTTCTAGACTCCATAGTGCGCCTATCTTATAAACTGCTTCTCCTTGATTTACTATAGTAAAGCTACATTGAGGTTGCTGACACGTAGCCTTCAAAGTACCTGTTGGTACTTCCCATATGATAAATTTCCCTTTTTCAGTGCTATTGTATTTTATATTTATAGTGATGTTTTCAGCCTTTTCAGATGCGTTACAAGTAACCATACTCCTAAAGGTAAATGGTTGAGTGAAAGTTTTTATCTCCTTTTTGCATGCTATATTTTCCCCATGTATTACATATTTCTTATATATTATTGGTGCATTATAATTGAGAATAGTATTTGAACATTTCACTTTTGGAAAGGGGATAGGTTGGGGAGAGAGAGTAATCGATTTAATCGTTTGGGCTTTATCCATACCATGTGTGGTGGTTATATCCTTTGGGACTAAAATCAAGGCTGCTTGTCGGTATGATCTTATCATTTTCCTTGCATCATGTATAACTCCTATGCACCTAATCATTGAACTAACTTTAGGTTGAACTTCTGCTTGACAGTATTCTTGGTGAAGTGTACAATACTGCCGAGAATATACATTGTTGTGGCTCTTCTAAATTGTATACATAAATGCCAACCATCATTACAGTGGTTAGGTACACTTGTGCCATATCAAATTTACATGCTATATCAACCAAGCTGTTCTCTCTTATTTCAAAAGACGGTATTTGTCGTGAATTTCCCCAATCTCTTCTAATCTGACCATCAATTTTTAAAACTGTGTATACATTAATCTTCTTATATGTGATATTGAGACTTCCTTACTACCCGAAGCTGTCTTTTGTAATTTTAGTTTTAAAGGTCCTAAAGGTTCAGAAGTCCATTGCTTATCTGGAGCTTTTTTCACTCGAGAGTAGTGAATCCAGGACGACAGTTCCTTCACTTTGATTGCAGTGAAAGTGGTCAGTAGCACTTGGAATGGTCCATTCCACTTCTCTTCCAGTGGATTACCTGAAAAATTCTTGATATAAACCCAACTTCCAGGACTAAAGGGATGGATAGGATGATCCAATCCCTTAACTCTGTTTCCTAGGACAGTCTTATTGATTTTCTCTAATTGTTTTCCCAAAGAAATAACATAATTTTGTAAATAGGAATTACCCAACTGATTTAAATCTTCCCCTTTATATTTTGTCTGGTATGGTCTCCCATAGAATATTTCAAAAGGGCTTAGGTTCTCAAGCAAACAACTTTTGACTTTCTTTAGCCAAAGGCAGACAAAAGAATGCATCTTTTTTAGGTCTAGTACTGTAATCCGATCTGTTTTCCTAATTTAAATCTAAGGGGTTCCAAAAAGAACGCCTTTCTCTGCTGGCCAGTGGCTCCTATCACATTTACAAAATCCTTGCTTACAGGCATTAATTCTTGATTTAAAACAGAGAAATAGGCACCTGTATCTATTAAAAATTCAACTTCTTTCTCTTGTTCCCCTAGCTTTATTTTGACCAGTGGATCCGCTAGGGTAGATGCCCCAGGTCCCCATCAATCAGTCCCCGTTTCAGCTCTCAGGGCAGGTGGGGTATTTTTAAACTCAGGGCATTCATTTTTCCAGTGTCCTTTTTCCAGCAATATGCACATTGATTCTGCTCCAATACATTTCCAACATTAACACCTCTACCTCTTGCCAAATTCCTTAGTCCTCCTCTAGTCCCAAAAGGCATCCCTCTTCCATGTCCTCTAAATCCCCTATCCACATCTTCCCGATTTCTAAAAACTCTCCAGGCTTCTTCAAGTAATTTCTCCAGATCCCTTATCTCTGGTTCTTGCAGTAACCGGAGTAAAAGCAGTTGCCGCTCCCCCTTCTTCCTCACCGCTCCCGCCACCCTCTGTCTCAGGGAATGGCGACTGGGGTGGAGAAAGCGGATCTGGCAATGGAGGGGGGGGGCATTCCCAAATCCTCAAGCTGATCCTCTGCTTCCTCTTTACTCTTCCTGGATTCTGTCACTTTTAAACACCTTTGTCCAATACTACATGCCGAGCAACACCTCTTCATTTTCTGCTGCCCCTTCCTTTTATCGTTCTGTTCTTTCTCGAGGGACAAAACTAGAGGATCTTGCGATGGTATATTAAATCCACAGTCCTTTTGCCATTCAGGATGATTTCACAAAGTGAAAAACATATCCGCATACATAACCTCATCCCATTTTCCTTCTCTCCGTAAGAACAACATCAACTGCAACATAGTATTATAGTTTAGAGTCCCATTAAGAGGCCACTTTTCTCCATCATCTAATTTGTATAAGGGCCACCATTGATTACAATATTTTATCAAAGTTTTCTTATTCACATTCCCACCTGACGGTCCTCCTGTATTTTTCCAATGTTTTAAAATACATCCTATAGGACTCTTTTTCACAATTCCGCCACTTTGCTGCCCTCCCATCTTTATTAATTTAACTCCCCACACAGGACAGTTAGAGGATAAAATCTGTCTCCCTAATGTTCCCCCACTGCATCCACAGCTGACAATTAGGGCACTCAAAATCAGTACAATCTGGATTAGACCCAAACCAATGAGCATTAAATATCTAAAAACAATTTTAACATTCAACACTTATTGCTTGCTTTACACCCGTTATCCGGGTGGAGGGAACAATATTCATTTATATGACCGGTCACATTTATCTGATTAACCAAATACACTCACTTCGTTTGTCTCCGGCCGCACCCCTCGCGGGATAACAGAACCGCGGATCAGAACTCCGCACTCGCTTCGCAGCTGCGCCGCGTCTCAGTCACTCAAATCATACATACAGGAGCTAGCTCAATTCATTCACACACCTTTTATCAAATCCAAATCAGCTTTCAATAAACAATTCCTTTAAACAGTTCCAATTTCAATACCAATAAGTTACTACCACCACAATGTACGTTAATGCAAAGGTACTTAGCTCGCGACTTACTCACAACTGTACCTAACGTACTAAAACCAAGTGTATGAAATACAAGAGTACAAAACATAACATGTGTTCATACCCGCATACACAAACCAAACCAAGTGTACGAAATACAAAAGTACAAAGCACAAAATGTGCCTATACCCGTGTACACAAACCAAACCAAGTGTACGAAATACAAAAGTACAAAGCACAAAATGTGCCTATACCCGTGTACACAAACCAAGACCAAGTGTACGAAATACAAGAGAGTGCAGCACAACCTGAGTTGCGCAGCAGAACTCACGTACACAGTCTGCCCTCAGGCACTAGTAGCCTGGCACACAGCGCCCTGCATAGGACGTCTCCTACGACTTATGGGAACCCCAAATGACCGGTCCCAAAAACCAAAACCATTTATTTTTTTTTCCCTCTAATTTTTAAAATAATACCTTATTTTCTAGATGGTCCTTGTCTGCTCCCGCAGTGATCCGTATGAGGCAATAAAATCTTTACTTCTGTTCTTTTTTGGAGAAAAAGTAGTACTTTATTTGTGCGAGTTATTGCCAATGAGAACAGTGCATTAAAGTGACATTGAAGTGAACACCCCTTAGGAAATTTTCAATGTTATTTTTGAAAATGAAAGCTTAACAGACAAGAAAATAAAATAGAAATGGACTACAGGCTAAATGTACTATGAAAGACCCAGGCATTTTTAACTGTATCAAACCATGCACTGCCATTTTTAATTTAAGACAGAAGAAAATCAGCACTAACCACCTCTCACAGGGTGAGGAAAGAGTCCACTACCACTGAAGTTCTCCCAGAGAGTTTCTGTTCTTTGTACTACAGCAACATTTCTTAAATCTTGACAAGCATCTGGAGAACTGTGGGAGTTAGTATCAAGTGGCTCACAGACAGCAATTTTTGTCCCCTTTTCCAAGCCACATCCTGCTCAGACATACCTCAGACACAGGGTAGCACAAGTTGAAAGGATGCGGAAAATAGCCAAGAAAGCAGTCACAAGAACAAGGCACTGCAGGATGGGATCAGGAGAGGGTGTTGGGCTTGTTAAGGAAGAAGAAAAACTAGACAGAGCTGAAAGCGTGGTTATCTAGGTAGACACCTAACACATAACCCCAACTCAATCACAACAATCACAGGAGAGTTAAGGTTGGAAGGGGCCTCTGAAGACTGCCTAGTTCAGCCTACTGACTGCAGGATAAACTACAGCAGGCTGAACAGTACCATGTCCAGCAAGGATGGAGGCCCCACAACCTCTCTGCATGACCGTTCTCCAGTTCAACTTGTTTCCACTTATCACAACTCTGAGCCCAGCAGTTTTCATTCTGACTCGCTGTCCACTTATCTAATCTGTATCCATCAATGTGAGTATGACAATGTGATGGGAGACAGCATATAAAAAGCCTTCCTAAAGCCAAGATAAACACCACCCACTCCTCTCATCCACTGAGACAGTCATGGCTATGAGGTTGGCAAGGCCAGACCAACCCAAGGACAAACCCTTCATAAATGAATGCTGGTACTCCCAATCACCTTCCTGTCCACCATATGTTTGGTAATGGCTTCAGGATTTTTCATTCCCAGGAATGTCCTTCCCAGGACAAGATATGAACTTGATTGTTTTGTAGTTCCCCAGATTCACTTGCTTGCCCTTCTCGCAGACAGGGGGGACATTTGCTTTCTAGTTCACAAGAACCTCCTCTATTAGCACTGACTTTTCAAAGAAAAAGAGTAGCTCCATAATGACACTAGCCAGCTCCCTCACGGGAACTAAGTACATCCCATCAGGTCCATGTGTATGCTCCGTTTGTTTAAATTTTCCCCTAACCTGATCCTCCTCAGCCAAGGGAAAGCTATCCTTGCTGCAGACTTTCCCTCTTGTCTCAGGGACCTGGGATTCCCAAAGGCCAGTCTTACCAGGGAAGACCAATGTGAAGATAGCATTGAGTACCTCAGCCTTTGCAATGTCCGGCATCACCAGGTTCCCCACCCCATTCAGCAGTGAGCCCACATTCTCCCTACCCTCCTTTTTGCTCGTGATGAAGAAATTTTTTTATGATGGTGGTGGTGAAACACTGGCACAGGTTGCTCAGAGAAAAGGTAGATGCCTCATCTCTGGAAACTTTCAAGATCAGGTTGGAGGGGGCTCTGAGCAACCTGATCTAGTTGAAGATGTCCCCGCTCATTGCAGGGTGGTTTGAGTAGATAACCTTTAAAGGTCCTTTCCAACCCAAACTGTTCTATGATCCTATGTAGCAGTAGAAGTCCTTCCTGTTGCAAGTCCTTCACTACCCTTGTTGGATTCAACTCCAAATGAGCTTTGGCTTTCCTAACCCTGTCCCTAGATATTCAGTGTTTCTATACTCCTCTCAGGTCATCTTTCCCTACTCCCACCTTTTGTACACTTCCTTTTTTGTTTGAGTTTAGTGGGAAGCTCCTGTCTCCTGCCATATTTGCTTGATTTTACGTTTGTCAGGACAGACCATTCTTGAGCTTGGGGAAGGCGATCCCTGATAAGCATCAAGCTCTCCTGGAACCCTTATCTCTCCCACAGAATGAATCATGGGATTCATGAATCGTGATCTATGATCATGCATGATTTCTGACCTCAGCAACAGGTCTCTGAACAGGCCAAAGGATCTAGTTTTCATGAAAGCAGACCAGATCCTTCTTTATTATTTTTTTTATGATTAACCCAGATCCTTCTTTGTTACCTTACCACTTCTCACCTTTATTTCACCATCTGTCATTATACTCAAGATAAGAGGTGGTTTGAAAAAAATACACAATTGCTCTGCCAGCTCTTCTCAAGCAGCATGAAGTCTAAAAGTCTTCCTGCATTCCCAGCAAGGGACAATTAATTAATTTTATTCTCTCACCCTACCAGCCACTAAAGTTTACTAACACGGTAATGATTTTACTATTTTTCAGATCTCTTCTGGATTTCAGACTAGACACTGATTTCCAGAACAGATAAAACAGATATTTTATATAAGAGATATTTTAAAAATAAATTCAGATTATTCTTTCAACAAGATAAAAGATTGAAGTAAATTTCTAAGTACTTTGGTCAGACTGATTATCAAATAAAACAATCTATGATTTAATGGTATCTGTGTTATTTATAAGGTTGCACAGGTACTTAACAGACTCATTTCAGTACATGAAAAGGATAAAATTTTCCTCCTCTGCTCAGACATAAGTAGATATATTTGTAGGCATGCATTTATATATAAATGCACATATTTTATATATTCACAGTACCTTTGTTTATGACATATGAATATGCATAATCAAATGACAAGGATGCTGGCAGAGAGATGTGCAAATAGCTGCTCCAATATATGGAAGGAGATAGTATGTAGAGGTATAAATACACTGAAATTGCTCTGCTTCCATTGGCAACTGCTGTCTGCTGAGCCTACATCACTTCTCTCTACAAGCCAAAAAGGCTCAGCTGCTTAAGCTAATAAACCTAGCTGCAAACAACCATTAAAAGTTTCCCTTGCTAGGATATTTCGGACAGAAAAGGGGAAATGCCCCAAAGTTCAAATTGTGGCTTCATATAAATACAGCTTAATTTCTTGTATTAAAAACCCTAGAAAGACCAGAACATGCAAGGAATAAAAGAAAGTAAAGTAATTGTAATAGGAAAAAAGAAATCTTTTGCCTGGCAATTTCAAAAATTAATTAGGTAAATTTAATTAATACAATTTAGACAACCCATACACTTTCTTGTATTGTTTGTACTGATCTCCTCAAATATAACAGTTTTCTAAGAAAAGTGTTTTCAACTATACTTCACTCCAAAATAATTTAATTAAACTTTACACATATATACTGCTTCAAAGCTTTTAACACCTAAGTTACCACTGAAATAAGCTTTTACTTTATAGTGTAAGAACTCCACAGCATTACAATGAACAGTGTATTTGTCTTTACATTGATTTTCTCTGCCAAATATATGAGAGTAACAGATATGAAACTACCATACATGAACGACTGCCTTGTAAGAAGTCCCTGGATCAGTTCTGAGCAGAAACGAATAAAATTAGTTTTGCCAAAAAAATTTATTAGGTTCTATACTTACTCCTTCATGAAGTCATAGCTATTTAGTTGGGAATGAATTGATGTAACATCTCCTGTTATTTTGGGCTCGTTCTGAAATTAACATATGTGAAAACAGTCTCCACGACATAATCTGAACTGTTGTATTACTCAACTACAGAAACAGTACTTCTAAATACCAAACTTAAGATCATCCTTTGGCCCCTGTTTGCTGGGCATCTACACCATAAAGTATACAAAAAAACTACACCAGTCTTATTCTGGAATATCTCTTCAACTGCAGACAAAATTCAGTGCATCCCTACCATAAGTTCTATGTGTAGTTCCAGTCTCCGTACCTCAGGGAATACGGCAAAGTTAAGAGTGGAGAGCCAAAGGAGGGGAGCAGCTGCCCTTCAAAGAAACTAAGGAATTTAGAACTTTCAAAAAGTAAGAGTGGGGGAAGAATATGAGGAAGGTTTATAAAAATCATGAAAGCAGGGGGTGAGGTTTTCACCAAGGCTTTTCACCAAGCCCTGTGCAATACTAGAACTCAGCAAAATAGATCGGTTTTAAAATAAATAAATAAAAATACCTAATTTAGACAGCAGGTAGTGAATTTGGGGAATCTGTCATTATAAGGGTTCTCCAAGCAGACAGCATTATCAAGTTGAAAACAGAAATTAAGTAAGTAAAAGGAAAACAGTTTCCAAATTCACAATTTGGACCAGCAGCTTGTATTGCCACTGCCAGAAGCAAACTGGTGGGCTAAGCCAGGCTGCTGCTCTGACACCAGTCAGAAGCTTGTTCTGTTCCTATTCTTAACTTCCATTTTTATCTCACTTTTGAAGCATACCTATAGGTACTGGAAATCTACAGCATACAAAAATCAGTTTTCCATACTTGACTTCTGGTCACCTTTGTAGAGAGACTGTTAGAAAGGCCCTACAGGATTCATTTTATGGCAATATTTAAGAAGTCAGCAGTACTATATGAAGGACTTCATCCTACTATGCAGCCCAAAATAAAGAGACCAGCAGCTTATCTGCATCAATCTTGCCTGAGAGTAAAAACACCATCACAATACCATAGATATGCTCTTTGCGACTTCTAGACAAATTATTTTCTAACCTGCATTTCAATGCAACTATTTGTCAATGTTCTTACACCAGTTTATAGGAATCCTCCTCATTCTCCTCCAAACAATTTTCACAGGGGTCATTCAACCAACAGTGTGGCGACTTCGTGCATAAGAGGCTGAAGTCTGGAACTGTAGGGAACAGACTTGTTTGTATACACATTCTTATTATCTGCCTTTTAGGTCGCCTCACACAGAAATCTATGTATCAAACCTTGATCCGCAATCTGTTCCCCAGGCTCTTGTCAAATTGCTTTTTAGTCTCAGGAA